TAAAGGGTTGCTAGGAGTCAATAAGGAAAACTCACCACAAAAGCATTAATAAACCAACATAAGTGATCAATACATAGTCTATCAAAGTTATTCTGGAGAGGGATCTCATTTTGGCACAAATCATGTCAGGCTGGGGGCTTCTTGTGGATCAGACATTCTGGTACAAACTTCTAGATCACTCATAAAACATTTGAGCATTAAAATTTAAGGTACTGTAATCTACACTTTGGATGTTAAAGATGAATCCCATTGTGGATAAGTTCTCTGGAGGAATAACAACTGTTCCTCAAACCATGGCACAGGAGTTTAACAAGCAAATATATAACTGTCACAGTAGACTGACTGGTAGTAAAATATGCCACCCCAAAATGTCACTTGGCTTAAGTATTATTTTGATTTGAAAGCAACCTAGAAGAAGCAGAAACAAGAAGAGCACTCTGCCCGCCCTTTTCTTCCCTAAAAGTAGGACATAAATTTACAACAATGTCTCTCATCTCCTGCAAGGTAGACTTTAGATCCTTATCAATCTGGTGACTGTACCAGAAGGATCTACACTATAAACTGCTAACCAGCCTTTATCTTCTATTGGTTTCTGATACATTTGCCTTTTCACAGTTTGTCACCCTTAGAAACTCAAGGTTCTTTACTTTTGGGCAGTCCCTTAAAGTGTAGTGTTCTTTGTTGAAGATACTCTATGCATAAGCCAAACTTCTAAGCCAACTCCATGAGTTATTCTATTCTGGGTCCTACTGAATGTTTCATGAGCAACACACATATTAAGAAATTCATTTGTTTTTATTTTTTTCTTGTTACAGAGTCTTTTAAATCCTGTTAATTTGTTTTGTTAATCTGTTACAGGGGCCCTAGTTGAAAATTTAGAAGGACAGAAAGCAAATTACTTTTCCTCCCTTACAGGATAAAATACATTAAATTTTGAAATTCGTTTTTCAACTATAAAACCACATTTAACCTGAAAAGGAAATTTCCTTATGCTTTCAAACATCTTCCTACCCAGATTTCCTCCTTTTCAACAAACATGCTCGCTAGATTAATGAGATTCTCTAGTTTGGGGCCAGGAGGGTGAATCCATCAACTGATACTGAATATCCCAGTGAACTAAGAAGGCAGGATTCAAATGGGCCATGCAAACTTCTGAACAAGAATTCAGCCTTATTCTGGCCTGGCAAAACAAACACGTTATTTGAGGTAGATAAATAAATTATTTATCAGAGCATTTCTACTATCACATTATACTCAAATTACATCTCATTCTTGCTTCCTAGACTCTAAGATAACCACAAATTGAAGATCTATCTATCTTTCTTTCTTTCCTTTATATATTTATTTAATTTTATTTATTCAGCGATACTGGGAATTGAACTCCTAGGCACTTTACCACTGAGCAACATCCTTAGCCATTGAATTTGTTTTATTTTGAGACAGGGTCTCGCTAAGTTGTTCAGGGTCTGTTTTGCCAGGGTCTGTTGCTGAGCCTGGCCTGAAACTTGCAATAGTCCTGCCTCAGCCTCCAAAGTCACTGGAACTACAAGCATATACGGTACCAGTTGTGTGTGTGTGTGTGTGTGTGTGTTGTGTGTGTATTTTTTTTTTTTGAGGTGCTGGGGATAGAACCTAGGGTCTCACGTATGTTAGGCAAGTGCTAAACCATTAAGAGACATCCCTAGAACCAGAGATTGAAGAGCTTAGAGTTTTCTAACAAACATATTTCTTGGTAGTTTTGAACACTGAATATGTAAAAGTCAAAGTGGAATGTCAAAGTAATTAATTAATTATCCCATGGGCCAAAATAGCTTCACAAATGCTAAAATGAAATGCAATTTCACCCAAATAAAGTAACAGCGTATAATAATATTTATCTGCCTGATACATGTAGATTCTAGGTAAATTGCAAGATGTGGTTTATTCCCCCAGAAATAAAGAAACAAACTAACTGCATCTAACTGCTTGTCCTAATAATAATCAAACAATAGAGTAACTATGATGTCCACTTACATATATCTCTTTTGTGTCTACCATATTTTGGAAATACCAATTTAAGGAAATATTCTTTTAACAAGCAGTAACTACCAGTTATCACCTGCTGGTGCCATGCAAGGCACTGTTCTGAGCGCATTACAGAAATTATGTCTTATAGTCATTTCAATGACCCATGGTGGCAATATGATGCAATAGCACGGACACATTCAAACTTGCTAGATTAAAATACAATTTTAGACTTTGGAACTATTCCACTTTAAATCCCAAGCTTCATCAACACAAAGTGAATGACCTTTTGGATGTCAGTCATTTAAAATGCTTTTGAATAAACAATGTGATGAGTACATGTGTTGGTTTAAATTAATCTCTGGAGAGAGCTAGTAGTTTATTTCATCAAAGTGGCTTACTTTGATTTTAATCAGAGTTCACAGTTCCTGTTTTCACTATCCAGATTTCTTTCAAAATCACAGGTCTTACTAATTGACCAATTAGAATTGGCTTTCCACTAGAAAATTAATGATGTTCATCAATATATGAGGATCACTGATTATTTTCGAAATACTTGTCACTCTTACCTAATGAATGTATAAGAATTTAGTTCCTTGGGAGATACAGCCCAATGACTTAATCCTAACTATCCTGATATTATGATTTAGATATAAGGTATTCCCCAAAAGCTCATGTGTGAGACAATGCAAGAATTGTGTGGACACAGAATTGTTGAATTGCAATAATTGTAACCTCATCAATTGATTAATCCATGATATGGATTAACCAAGTGGTAACTGTAGACAGATAGGGTGTAGTTGGAGGAGGTAAGTCTCTGGGTGCCTGCCTTTGGTTTTTATGCCTTGCCCCTGGTGAGCACAGCACTCAGCTTGCTTCCTGATGCTATATCCTCAGCTGCTTTCCTTCACCATGCCTTTTCTCACAATGTTTTGCCTCACTTTGGTCTTAGAACAATGGAGTTAGCTGATCATGGACTGAATCTCTGAAAACATGAGCCCCAGACAAACTTTTTTTCTTCTAATTGTTCTTGTCATGTCTTTTGGTCACAGTGATGAAAAATCTGACTAAAGCAGCCACAGTGACTTAACTTCTCATTGCCTGATGCTTTCTGTGAAGGGTACTTGGATCCTACTTGTGGAATAAGGTAGTCTGCCTCTAGTCCACCTTTCAGTGAAAGGTGTTGAGTAGAGAAGCTTGAAGGTCAGAAAACTGGAAGGAGGAAGAAGAGAGGGAAGGGAAATAGCTGCAGCAACCTTTACAGTTAGTTGCCACATGTACATCAGCCCTTAACTACTTTTAGTTACTCTAGTGAGTTAGTTTTAGATTATTAATTGGAACCTTTTACCTCTCAGTGAGATGAGGTTTATTATTATCATGAAATCAAAATAATTCATTCAAAAGACAAAAGTCAAATCAATATAACACTTCACATAGCAGAAACATCTCAGAGTGAGTTAAAAATGAAATAGCATGTTTAATCAAAAAACCAAGGATCCTCTTCTCTTAAAACTATATTTAGCTTTTGCAAAGCACAGAATCAAAAGAATGTGTTTATTTTATTCACCAGCTATATATCTCACCCCTGAATTAACGCTCTACTCTGTAATTTTCTTCATTATTCTCTAGAGAAGTTGCTTATATATCTGTCATATTTTAAGCAGGTTCTATACTACCTTAGATGTGCTATTTAGCACAGTGCAGCAACTTGTCAGCCATACTCTAAGTGAACTGCTGATTATCATAGCTTTAGAACTTCAATCCTCCTTTTGGAATGAGCAGTTCTTATGCAAATTCACAATAGATTTTTCCAGGTGTTGTGGCAGATCCTTTAAATTTCTGATCCTAGGTCTTTTACATTAGCACTGCAGGGTGGGTTAATTATTTTCCACAGCGCTTTATAGATGAGGCACTACATTTGAATAAGGTCATCAAGTTAATACTGTCCATGGCACCTCTAGAAGAGGTCATGCCAGATGAAGTTTGCTGCTACAAGAGTTCAAGGTCTGTGGTTTTTCCATGCTGTCACATGAAAGCGATAATTATAAGGCTCAACTATATTAACTAATATTTATTAAAAACTACCAGCCATGTGCTAAGGCATTATATGTTTTTAAATCTTAAATAATCTTGTAATTATGATATTGAGATTTAAGGAAGGAAAGTAATTTCCCTCAAATTATACCCCAAATTTCAAGTATTATTGAGATTCACATCTAGGCACTCCCCTCTGAATTTTGAACTTGAACTATATACTGAGATAATCAGTCTCAATACTTGCATTGCTACACTGTGATGGTATGAAGGTAGAGTAAGGAGGGATGGCCATTGAGTTGAGATTGCTTTATTTATATTCATAATTTGTACATTTCTCATATATTTTCTTTAAGCTGCTGCAAAACTCATTCATACAACTGAAATCATGATCTTTCTGATATTTAAATTTTCAGATAATTTTACAAAACATCATTCCTAATTACATCAGTGTCTTAATTTGTAGATGATTTTTGACTCTGCTCACATCAGGACTTTCTCTGTCAGGACTTTTTAGACTTACTCAACAGTAAGCATAATAAGATTTCATATCTGAGTTAGTTTAATTAACAAAAGACTAGAAAACGATGAGGGTAAGGTTATGCATTCACTCCTAAACTGGACAAATTACCTGTTCATAGCCTTACAATCTATTCATCTTAGTTAAATATACATCCCTGACCACTGCTAGGCAGTGAAAATACACCCCTGACCACTGAGACCATAATCAGAACATATGTAGCAGAACTAGTGTTCTGGGGGTAAACATTAACTTTATGCAAATTAACTTTATTCAATGCCAGTCATATATTAGGTGCTAAGTAAGTGTTTTGTGAGAAATGAATAAACAAAAGTGAAGATAAATTCGGTGTGAACTTTTCCAGTAAATTGCTGACACATAGATTCTACATTTCATGCACATTTAACACAAAGTACAAGAGGGCTCAGTTATAGACACATACCTGAAAAGAGTCTGCACATTTACAATGGTTTTGGCATCTGCCATGTAATCCTCCTCGGCACTCATGGTGCTCTCCTTATCCACAACCACCATATTGGCAGCAAAGGTCACTCCACACCTGAGCAAATCATCTAGGCTTTGATCAGAACCAACAGAGAAAAGAAGACATTAACTACAGTGTTAGAATTAGCACCCAGACTTGCTGATCTCTGTATTTATACACGTTGTCCTTATAGATGGCTTATCTAGAGTGTGCACAGATAGATATTAATGGGAATTATAATACAATATTATCTACTGACGTGAAATTATTTTATATGGAGCTCATTAGACTTCACTACATCCTTACAGTTTCAAAGCATTTGTGTTAAGAATATTTACTTAGTAATATTTGTTAATTATGTAAATGATATGTGGAAAACACCCATTTTGCAACCAAAAGAAATAGAGGACTTTGTTAGAACTTTGTTTTTACAGTTAACATACTACTTAAAAGATACAAACTTTTATATATATATATATATATATATATATATATATATATATATATATATATTAAATGTCTAAGATTCTTTTGGTAAGAGTAGAGATGGATAATTTCTATATTAATTTAGATAGCTAAGCCTAATGAAATAGAAAAATATAAAATGTTTATTTTTAAATGTCTGTTTTTACTTTATGTAAGAACTATGCACTGGAGATTGATTCTACACAGTCAAGAACATGGGAAAGATATACATATCTGTTGTATTCAAGCCTACCATTTAGACTACACACATTTTTGAGCAAGTTCTATTTTTAAGTATTTGATCAGATTAAATAACCTGATTTTCTTGGATACATGTGATGATTGTAAACCTAGGATACAAATACCTGAAAGCTATAACAGGGTAGTCTTTTCTCCTATCACTGATAAAATACCTGACCATTTCCCCTATGAATTAAAGAAAAAAGATGTTTACCATTAAAGTTGAAAAAGGTTCATCATTATTCTCATCGCCTTTGCTTTTCACAAACTAGAAAAATAGGGCTGAATGGGATCAGAGAAACTAAACCTGAATGAGGGCAGGAATGTTCTAGGTTCAGAGTTGACAGAGATAGATAAGAGAAAGGTGAATTGGATTCCATATGGTGCTTACAATGGGAAGTATAAAACTGAAAGAACCACAGTTCATTTAAGATTATTAAATTGAAGAGCCAGGTGCCTGAGGATCTTTTCCAAATTCATAATTGGTTGAGCTGGCCATGTCACTTTAAAGGGGAATACTTTCCTTTTTGGGGGGAAGGCGGAAGGAAGGATTTCTTACTCTGTTATTAGGTGAGAAAGTATTACCAAAGCCTTGAGTCCAAGATCCCCAGGAGGAGTCCAGAAAAAATATTTCGCTTGAATCAGGAGCAATGTTCTGTGGCAGATATTTTATGGCTAAAACTGTGGAAACAGAATGTTATTCCAAATAAATTTCCTATGGTAAGAGGGGCTAGGACCATAACATCGAATCAATATGATGATCTTCAAGTTTAAATCTCTAGGGATACTTGGGTCTTCCTTTTTCCTAGAAAATTCTTAGTATTTTTTCTTACATCTACTAAAATAAAATTTAAAAAGAATTGTGCAGGGATTGGCACTATAGTTCCAGGACAGAGAACTTATAAGGTCCTGGGTTCAGTCCCCAACAATGAAAAAATTATAATGAGTTGTATAACAAATGAGTCCCTTATGGAACACAGATGTGACTTAATAATCTGCCTTCAAACCACCTAATAATTTTAAATTACTTCCTCGTATTTCAGCTTTCAGAAATGTTTTTCCTCATTTAAAAAAAAAAAACTCTATGGTAATTAAATAGGAAAAGAAAAAGGAAAAATTGCAAAAGGTGAGTTTGGATGAGGCTATATAGATAGAAGCTAAGACAGAAAAGATGAATAATTAATCAACAATAATTTAAGGAAACTGAACTTAATACTTGACAAAAATTTCCGTGGGAGTAGCTATGGTTAAGTTGCTAACAGCTACCACCCATACCCATATGTATCAGTGAATTCCATCTACAAAGTATTTTCAGTCTATTCATAACCTTGTCAAGTAATATCAATAATTATCATTAAAATATGTTTAAATCCACAGAAAACATACATTAGGAATAACATTCCTGAACCATGTAGATTTTTTTATCTTTATGTTTTAACTGAAAATTATTGTTTTATTTATTTAATTGTATTTAATCATTTTTTCTCCTTTAATAAATAGGCTACTAACTTGTCTATCTTAATTTCTTTCCTCTACCTCTCTGTACCATCCCATTTTCTCCAGCAGGGATGCTTTGCACAGTTTGTCCACGAGATGGCAGCTGAAGAAAGTCAATCTGGATTTTTATTCTTTTTTTTTAAAAAAAGTTACAGATAATCTAATTGGTGATAACACTTATGTCACCTTTCTCTGATTCCTTTTTTTAAGGACTAGAAAATGAAAATTTTTTGAGTGTCAAGGAGTGCATTTTAATTTGCGAAAGGGGTCTTCTTTTAAGGAAAATTTTAAACACAAGGAAAAGAGAATTATAAAGTAAACCTCCATGTTCCTGACCCCTAACTTTAATAATTATCAATTTGTAGCCATCCCTAGAAATTTAATGGCCTCAAGTTCTCCTTTTTTCTTGCCATAAGTACTTTCGTGGAGAAAGAATTTGCTTCGGGGCTTATATCATAAAAGGCAGAGAGGAAAGGCTTATTCATCACCTTATATGATTTTTCTAGAGTTTTTTTTTTTTTGATGGAAAACTATCATTTCAAAATAACACTACTGGATATAAAATGTGTGTAGTATTTAAATGGTAATTTTACTATATCTATTTTCATTTTAATTGGTTAGTATTATGATACCTGATAATATGAATCATGTTAATGTAGAAGTGAAGCTAAATATACTTTAGTCTAGTTGACCTTTAATGTATCCACAGCTACTAAACACTTTTAAAGTTATAATTTTCAACATATGTAGGATGACATGAGAGATCTCAATTGGCTAATTTTAGTATTTTATTTTGAAGTCACTGACATTTTTAAAAAAATGTAAAAGTAATGTATTTTATGTTACTTCATGTATGTTAATTTTCTGATCCTTCACTTTTTATGTTTTATTATGGTCTTATAATATATAAAAATTATTTTATATAAATGTACTACATATGCTATCTTGATGAAAATATTTAGAAATTGTGAACAGATGTGTAATTAGAATAACTTGTTAAGAAAATATTCCTATTTACAAATGTAAGTTAAAATGAGCATTTCTACATTTAAGTTTATGGAAATGATATCAATATATCACAATATTGAACCCTTAGAGGTTTTTCTTGATACTGTAACAATATTAATAATGTAATTTTTATAGAAGATAAAAACTGAAACAGCTTTGGAAACTGAGCACAGCTGACAAAATTGACATGCAGTGAGATTTGTTTTAATTCAACAATAAATTACTGCTTAGGGAGTTTAATATAAGATGTGTAACAAATGAATATAAGCTCTACATGCATAATTTATCATATTTGCAATACTGACATGACAAATTACACTCATCATGCAGTAACAAGGCACAGCACACAACAGACCACAGGACACTACAGTAGTAATGTGCTAAAGATTTTGTCACCTACTTGTCAATAGAGCCCACCATGTAGTAAACCATTGGAAACCAACAGATTGCATCCAGAAAATGCATATCTGGCCTAAGTAGCAGATGGGTTACAAAATGAAACACAATGTCACAACAGTGGCAGCATTTCTAAGGAAAGGAAGCAAGTTGACTTAGTTTGCATTTCCAAAACTAAAAGCTGCTGATGAACTTAATTGTAAGTGCCTTTACCTTAACATTAATTATAAAAATTATACTTGTTATGAATCACACAATGCACTCAGAATTATAAAAACAAGTACTTCATCTTTCTAAATCAGAAACATTATGGCATAATTCTACAAAAATACTGAATTAGCACCCTTAATTATGGCTAAAATATCTTATCGATGAACCTAAAAGTTACTCATGCAAAGCAGACCTTGAAAATGAACCAATGATTTTCTTTTTTATTAAATAGCCTAAAGCAAGTACCTATTAAGAGTAATCATTAGGCATACCTATTAACAGCAACTTTGTATAAGGAATGTATACAATCAAAACATGCTCCATGTTATGTCAGCATGTCAAATAAATACAGTATATATCCCTATGCAAAATATGAACTATATAAAATTATATAGTTAATGAATGCATTTTACCATTAGTTTATGGATTGACTTAATGTATATTGTTGAAGAAATATTTATTATGACTAAAATATTTACTTGTATGGAAAAGAATCATAAACCTAAAACTTACTTGGAAATCTCTTAATATATTGCATTCACTTTACAGATGTATTCCTTTCATGCATCTATTTAATCAGCAAATTTGTATCCCAAAATTTCATTTCATGATTTTTTAAAAAATATTCAGGCATATTTTTTAAAAAAATTAATACCATGGTAAGTTGTAAGATATACAGAGTTGCTTAAATGTATGCACAAAATCACAAAAATACAATATATCTTTAATCTGAAAAGAACAAACAACTCATTGCACTCTGGAGGCAGAGTTGCCACAGAGGTGATATGTAAATTGGTTATAGAAGGAAAAGTAGGAGTTTGCCTAGTACAAGAAAAAGCAAAGGAAATTCTAGGCCAAGGTAACTATATAATCAAGGCTGATTCTCAGAGAAATTCTTTTCCCTCCTATCCTATTTTTGTTTTTCTTGGCCATTCTCCTACCTCTATATACTCTAAAGAAAAAAAAAAAATCTCAGTACAGCAAAGCATAAAAAATGAACCCAAAGAATACCACTCTTACTGTCTTGACTAGATTCCTACCACCAGCAAATTTCTTTGTTCTCATTTAAATGGCCCAATATATTATATCATTTAGATATATCACAACTAATTTTAAAAGTCCTCAGTTTGTAAGTTATTTTCACTTTTTGCTATTTATTGTAGTCATTTATAATATTTTGCTATCATATGTAACAGTATTATGCACAATTTTGGATTATTTTATTTTTTGAATTGTTTTTCATCATTGAATTGTTTTTTTGTCATTACTTCAAAAAATTCAGAGTATGTATATTACTAAATCAAGGTCTATAAACATTTTCAAAGCTCCCACTGTGTAGTGTTTTCAACAAATATTATAATAATATGCACTGAGCAGCAGTCTCTGATAGCTCCTATGGTACAGATTTATACTCTCCTTTTTCTAGGCACTGTCCTGCTTCTTATATGAGAAAAGTCATTCTCTTTGCTAATTCAAGACCCTCTGTGTCTCTCTCACCCTGTTTCATAATTTTAAAAGCCTGGGTATGGATGGAAACACCCAAAGAGGATAACCACACATGGGCTAAACCCTTAGTCTGTGTTTGGGATTTTACTTTTGCTTTATCATTTTTATTTTATTCTCTTTGTTCCTAACTTTTCATACAGTGCCAGTCAGGTAAATGAGTATTTCAAGTGCTAATAATTTATTTCCTGAGTTGAGTCTAAAATTCTTTACTATTAATTAGATACCTATTCCTTTTTAGTCTGACCCATTTCTTTAGTTTCAAACCATTTCAGTTTTCTTCTGCTTATCTTCTCTGATCATCTGTCCAGTGTGACATCAGGTTTCTACAGTTTTTCAACAACATTTAATATTATGAATCATTCTGTTCAATAAAGATTTTGAAAAGTTGCTGGGTACTAACATATACTGAGGTCACTGGGTCAAAGTAAGTCTTTTATGTTATACCAACAATCCTATTAGAGTTCAGGTTGGAGGAAGGCCTTTGCATTTTGTGCTTTGTCTAATAAAGATCATAAAAACTAATTGGTCATTGAAATTATTGCCTTGCTTTAGAAAACTCATGAATTTAAATTATGTGCAGGTCTTCCACAACTATGTATCTACAGTGGACAAACACTCATCTAAATTCTTACAACTTGCTTTTCAATTGTGATCACACAGTTCATCTTCACATAAATTTATATGTTTCAAGGTAAATCAATCCCTTTGAACACAACATATATATTACCTGATGAAACATTTAATGTAAAGGGTCATAATGTGCTATATTCTTTGCAAAATTCAATTTAAATATGTATTCATCTATTACTAATATTGAAAAAGGATGGTATAAAAAACCTGAAATAAAGAAAAAACTCAATTTTGTATTTACATGTATTGTGCCTTCTCATTTAAACAAATTTACAGCACTGCTTATGTCACTATGATTACTGAATAACAAATTATATCACAGTCTCTTAATACACTAATTATTTTAAGTCATGGGGAGATAGTTAATTAGCAAGCATAGCTTTTACCTTGAGAAGCATTATTACTAGAAACACTAAACAAAAACACAAAATATTCATAAAACCAGATGTCCTTTTCTTAGGTTTCATACCAAAGGACAGATAAAAATTTGAATATAAGAAAAAAATGCATTAACACAATAGAATAAGATGTATGTTTTTTTTAAAATCTGACTTCTAAACAGAAAAAGCCTATCCATACCATTACAAATTACATTAAAATGATTACATTAAAATTATATAATTGACAGATATAATGTTTATCATAAAATTTTGAAATATAAGAAGCAAATGTCAGATTTGTTATTTATAGCAAATTTATAGATCAAAGTTGCTTTATATATGTAAAAACGCATTTCAAATCAATAAGAGGACAGGAAAATAGATCTAAGGCAGAATAAATTCAGAGACCAAAAAATGAAAAACAAAACAGGCTGAAATTAGTAATTAATGAAATAAAAATTCCACAAACAAAAAGTAACTGATGTTAGTAAACAGAACAAAGTGAGCACATTTAATAATTAGTCCTAACTATAATTCTACTTATGTGCCTAAGACCTCAGACTGTCATAAAATCTGATAATAAAAAATGCCATTATATGCAAATATTAATAGCAAGTCATTGTTAGGAACTGAAAAGGTGTATAAACTTGCATGGATTTGCAAAATTCAGGACAATTATTCCTTTCCCATTAAACTGATAACCATAATAAATTTAATTTCTTTACTTCAAGTTCAAGAAATGAGTATAATATGCCTTTCTGAGCAGTTTATTTAGTTAACATTTCCTAATTCCACTTGTAAGTACTTTACTTCTTCCTAAATACATTAAAGATTAACTGCTGATACTCTAAATAAATTTTGTATTTTTATTAATTGGGTTTTCCGCTCATTGATTTGAATAGTAACTGTTTCTTTTTTTTCCTTTTCTGGTACTGGGGATATGAAACCCATGCTAGGTATACACCCTAGCACTGAGCTGCATCCCCCGTCTTTTTTACTTTTCATGATTTCTGAGGCAGAATATGGATAAGTTTCCGAGGCTGGACTAAAACTTGTCTTTCTCCTGCTTCAGCCCCATGAACCTCTGCGCCTAGTCAGTGTTATCTACAGACTGGCAGAAGGGAAACTGTGTCAGATCTTGCATCAGTGTTTTCTGTGCATTATCTTACATGCAGTCTCACAATAACTTCCTAAGTGTTCTAATCATTTTAAATCAGAAAGTTGAGGCTTACAGATTCAATAACATGTAATAGGCCTATCAAGAGGTTAAACTTATATCTTGTCATAGAGCTCTGTCTGAAGCCAAAGTTTGAATGTTTCTAGTAAGGGCACTGATATAAAATATCAGTAATAATTTTATTATTGCTTTTAAAATAAGTTGAAGTGTTTGTGGTATTATATGTGAAAAAAAGGCAATTTAATAAGTGACTAGTATAAAAAAAGATTTTGGTAAAAATGAATAGCATAAGCTTGGATTTTCCACTTCATCTTTGTGTACCTCTGGGTAACAGATTTCAGCTTTTAACTTGCTTTTCTGGTATTATCAGATGACTAGATGACCTTCCGTGTAGGAACCATTATCAAAATATTGACATTGATGAGGCAACGGAGCCAACACAACAGACCGCCAGTCAATCAGAAATGACACCAGTTCTAATGAACTGCAGAAATATTAGAACTGCTATAATAAACTAAGCAAATGATGTTTTTCAATATGACCATTTCATTTAATTACAATTGGACCTATAGAAGTCTTTGTGTATAGAAATACTGTAAACCATTATTTCACCATATTATATTTGTGTATATGGTAAATTCAATTAACATTTTTAAATTTCATACTTATGATCTGTTACTGATTGTTATATTAAATTAACTGAATTTCCTAAATAGTGATGTATCAAATATTATTTTCAGCAGTGTTTACAGGAATTTAAAATAGAGTCAAACTCTCAAACCCCCAAAACTAAGTAATAGTTGTAGAAGTGTATTCAATCATTATTGCATAAATTTTTATGACATGGAAATATTTTAAAGAGAACATCTTTTTAAACTATTTTAAGGTGAATTGCAAAACATTAGCCATTTCAGAGCAAAGTGTGCCTTATCGTTTAAAAGGGGGAAGAAAAGGACTGAATAAAATTTCCAGAAACATTATTTACTGGTGTTCAGTTTTTGTTTCCTCATTCTTGCCTCAAAGAACAGAGGAAATCAAATACAAATGTTAGACGCCGCTTTTGAAAAGCACACATGAAGCTAATAAAATTTACAGCATGAACATTGAACTTATAACTTAATAAAATGAAATAATCATAATACATAAGAACGAATTAAACCCTACAAGAATCAATTAAACCCTACAAGAATAAATTAAATCCTACAAGAATGAATTGAACCCTACAAGAATCCTAAAGCAGTTTCTCATTAACTATTGGTTTCCAAAATGTAAGCTATTAGGAAGGCTAATGTAAATTTTAATGCAAAATTAATATGAAGATAAAATATATCCTTGCTTTTAGAAACAATTTACAAGGAATATGTATTTTTAATGTACCAAACAACTCTAAGTTAAATATGATTACACCTGAAATAACAGTGAGCTAGAGATTGCTTAGAGGTTCTAATTCTAGAATTTATTTGGTAAAGGTCATATAACTTCTTTGGATCTGTTTTATATCATCTTTTAGAGACAGAATGTATGTATCACAGTCACTTAGACTTCAGCTTATTTAGATGCTTACATTGCAATATATAGAGCTCACTGAGCCAAATCTCTATGTAATGTATTTCTTATGGAATAAAATATAGAAATACAGGTAAAATGCCTGGTATAATAATGAACATGTAACTAAATACTCAATAGCTATAATAATTATATAAAGAATGGAGGTAAAGTTTATTAACTTTATTAAATGATCGCTATGGTATTATTCAGATAAAATTTCTCTGATTAAAAACTACATTTTTATTTGTACAGAAATATCAACCATTTTGTCAGTAATTTAAGGAAGGAGAATTTTCAGATTTTTCTGTAACAATTGACCAAATTTAGGAACTAAGACAGTAGAAAGAACCACCTGCCTTTATAATCCCAATATAAAAATCAATCATTCCACAGAGACATGATAGTAACCTGTTTATTAAAAATCAAACAGCAAAGGACAGACTTGATAAAACTACTTTGAAATTTACTCAAGGGTACATGTGAATGATTCCTTAGCTCCTGCAAAATGGGACAAGGTGGAAAAGGGTGGGGGGCGGAAATTTGTGATTCTCAGATGGTATTATTTAGATGGTCTGGAGATTGAATCAGAGGAGTCTATCTCCACTTCATAAAGAGAATTCCACTTCCAACTATGGACAGATAAATTTTCGGCAGGAGCTTTACATTATCAGGACAAGAAATCTCATCTTTAAGTAACATGAAGAGGAGAAATGGGGAGTTTCTTCCCTTAGCCCTATCAGAAGGATGCTACAGGTATAGCTCCATTTGCTTCAACTCAAGTTTCTCTATATCTTTCTTTCTGTGCCGTGGGGCTTGAACTGATCTTGCTTGAGCCAATCATCCAAGATGAGGCTACTTCCAGACCATCAATTCAACTAAATTCCTATCTTAAAATTCTGTTTTGAAGGGACTGGACACACCATCAACAGAGTAAACACCTGACAAGATTAAGTTCACATAGGTAAGTAAGAATCTCTGCTGTGCCAGCTCTTCTAGCCTCTTTATACCTTTCCCTCACAGAAACTTCAGAATTTAGGGTGTGTTCAAAAGATTTGGGAAGAGATTGGCAACCACTCTATTGCTATAGTCATCCCACAAACCAAATTTTCTTCTCCTCTAATTTGGGTTAATATGCTTTTATTTCTTCTGGCTTTGTATCCAAGTTTCTGTTCCTCCATGCCCACCCTTTCCTTAGATGGCAAAGAGGTATTACAAAGTCACTGCATCATTAAGCCTGAAAATTCTTCAAATTAAAATTCTACAAATGTGCTCAACATGTAAATTAACCATTGTAAAGATATTGAAAAAAAGGATATATCAATGGGAATTTTGATATTGGTATATTCAGAAAAAAATGAAGTTATAATATTTTGGGGGAAATACCTCTGTTCTGAGGATCTTCTCTTGATATTTTTAAAACACAGAGATAAGGCAATAATATTTGGCCTCATTTATTTGGAAATTAGCATCATTTTGGAATGGATGAGGAAAGAGGGAAAAGCCCCAAATATGACTTTGATCTAAGGACCACTTGTTATTAATTGCCTGGCATAGAAAGAAATAGTATAATTTTAGAATAAAATGGCTTTGAATATCACATTCAGTGACTTATATTTATATTTGCAGAAGAATTTCAAAAATACTCATGTAGTCTTGTTTAACAAAAGTAAGTCAATCCAATAGTATCAAAATAAATACATGATAAAGTATTATTTCTATTAATATATGTTATAGAATGTATGTTTTAACAGTAGTATATTAATAACACATGATGATGTCCATAGTATAACATATAAAAATGGATCAATAAATGCTTCTCTGATAATTAATAGTTCTTTAGAAAGAAAACAAAATTATCCAGTTTTGGCAGAGATTTTTCAGGCTAGCTGATTAATTTAAGGAAAATTACAGTAATTATTTTAGTGGCCTGCTTCCCATTATTTCAGTGGCCTGTTTCCAGTAGATGACCACTGGAAAGCAATTTTATGTAAAATTCTCAGAGCATTCCAGTTATGTTTTAAGTAGTATTTGTGAAACATAACCATATTTTAAGACTTTTACATATCACAGCAGAGACTATATCTCCCAATGAATCATGTCCCATAATGTGTCTGATTTAAAATGCTATTTGCAAATTAAAGTCAATTATTTTTATATACATAATATGATATTAAAAACTCTTTGTCTTGTTTGTGTATTTTAAAATATACTTACGGGTTATCCAAAAGCAGTACTATGGGATTAAGTTCTTTCTTTGGTCTATAATATGCCCTGAGAGGAACAATAAAATTATACAATCCATTTCCAGCTGTTTCAGCTGCAACTATAATTAGTTTATTTTTGAATCCATAGGCTTTTGCGTCCTCATAGTAGTTATGCTGGCAACTCTAGAGAAGAAAAATTATACAAAGAAATGCCATTTTTAAACTCCACTAAAATTTGGTAAAATAATTTAGGATATCTGGAAATGTAAAATTAATTAATTAAATCCTCAATTTGTAACAAATTTAAAAATAGTTACATTTGTCTGTGCCCAGTTCTCCAACTTGACTTAGGAAACAAAAGTGTGCATGGGCAACGTAAATAGGTAAATAGGTAGCTTGCTGTTGAAAGAGGAGCAATGTGTGTGTGCTCAAGTCCTACTATTATGTGAAACTTGCTGCTGCTAAGTGACATCTGGGAACTAATACTGAAACATTACCTACCTATAACTTTCATTTCCAAAAATATAGCAATATTATAATTAAATAACCTTAAGGATATTTCCAGTACTGAACACCTGAAGTGACAGACTAAAAAAATGAAATTAAATAAAACAGAAAATGAAATAAAACAAAACAACCAAAATCCCTCCTAAATACCTAGCTGAGCTTTCAAGATAATGATGCAAATACTCAAAATAATAATAATACCAATAAAACCAACAAACCGGAAGCACATATTACCAAAGCTCATTTTTAGCTCAAGGGCACTTCACTATTTCCTGAGTCTAGAATTTGCTGGAGTTAACATTACTAAACCAAGACTATTTTAAACTTAAATGATCTTTATAGAAAACTGCTTTGGTGTTCTGTCCTTTCACTTCTTTACAGATGTACTTGGAGCTGTTTTTATTTGTTTGGGTTCAGATTAGTTCTCTATGGATTCATCACATCTGGAATATTCTTTGCCATTATTCCTTAAGAAAAAAAAAATCATAAAACACTGGCGGAAGTGAAACACCAAGAATAAACAGAAACAATAGACAAGATAATTAGACCACAAAGATTATAGTTTTTGCTGCTATTATGTTCAGAATATAAACTATGCATGGTTAAGAGGTTTAAAGAAATAAAAGAAAGAACTTAAAATATGAACAAAATAGGCTATTTCAAATATTCAAGGCAGACGTTAAAAATAATATTGCATCTATTTCTATATATTCTCTTAAACTGTGCTACTGAAGGGATCAACTGCAGGACTGAGTTGAAGAGATTATCCAAAAGGCAAGACCCAGAAGGAAAGATATAGCAAGTAAGATGGAAAAATTAAAAGACCTGGAAGACCGTGTGAGAATAGGAAACAAACATTTAATCAGAATAACTGACAAGGAGATAAGAATCAGAAAGTAGCATTATTCAAGTAAATGCTTTCTTTCTTTGTCATTTTTGTGATACAGTTTCGTTTATTAATTCATATTACATTTTAAGTTCTTCCAACTTCCTGGTCGGTTTTAAGAAAATTGTCTACAGTAAAATTCACAAAGCATAGGGTTATGACTGAGGATTTTCTACATGTGAAAAAACAAACAAACAAAAAAATAAACCTCCAATACTCAGGAAACTCAGTGAATCCCACTTCCAACAGAGAGAAATACATAGTCATCACATCATAATGAAAGTCTGGAACTACCAAGAAAATGAGATCTTAAGATGAGTCACAGGGGGGGAAAAGGACCTACCCATAAGGAACAACAATTTGAATGACAGCTGACTTTTCAACAGTGCAAGAGGCATGATAGTCATTAAATAAACTTCTTGAAGTGCTGAGAAAAAAACTGATAGTCTGGAATTGAACACCAAACAAGATGGTCTTTCAAGAAGGAGGGCAAAAATAAATACATTTCAAGGGAAATCATAACTGAAACATTTGACAACAAAATCTATTTAAATAGAAATTCTAATGGCTGCAATCTACGCAGCAGGAAAATGAATCCAGGAAAAAAAATCTGAAGTATAAGAAAGAATGAAGACAAAAGAAAATGGTAAAGAACAAGATCATTAAGTCTTCAACAGACACTTGGAGAGTTACTAATTTAAGTAGATGGGAAGCCATATTAAGAAATAAGATCACTCAGAAGTCACAGAAGGAGAATAGTAACAGGAGATAGTTGATGTAGATCATTGAGAACAATGATATTTATGAAATAAATGAAGAAAAAAAATGACAACATTGCTTATGGAGATATAGAAGCAGCTCAATTATTAAGGTAAATCACAGAGAGAACAGAAAATTTAGTGTTTATAAGTCTTAAAGACATCAGCCTTACAACACTGGAACAGTGTTAGCCAAACTGATCCCAACTCATACTCTTTGTAGAACAGTGGAGTCAACTGCATAACTCCATTCCATAATGTCAAAGTGGGCACCTATTTACCAGAAAAGTCCACTTCCAACCAGCCTCATACTACCCACATAATCATTAATTCTAGATATCACCAGCCAATTAGCAACACTGAAAACTTTGTGTTATGAATATAGTGAAGAGACAGGGAATAGTCTTTGACTTTAAAACATCCTCTATTGCTCCCCTATCAATTATCATCCCTGAAAGCTTAGCCTTCTGTTGGATCAGTTCCCTTGGAGATGAATCATTTCTAATCTTTGGCCTCCTGATACCATATACTTTTTAACTGTATATCAGAAAGAAGTGAATGCCACCAGAAGTAAGTCCAGGTTTCATGGTGCCTGAAATATATGCTATTTTAGGAATTTTCTTTAAGTAAACAACAAAAATGCTACAGATAAAACAAAAATTATAGGAAAAATTAATTGTTGACAGGATTAATGCAGGTAAATCATCCTAAAATTTAGGATTTATTGATGTTACCAGAAATACACAGCTGGTCAGAAATATCAAATGCTGCATAAAATAGAGATTGTAAAAAATATGAAATGAAATAAAGCCTTGAGAGTTAGAATTATCCATTTCAATGGGCCCATGTGAATAGGAGCAATGGCAAAGATTTACAAAGCAACTTCAGAGAGATAATGTCAGGAATTTTCTAATATTCTCTTAATCTTCCTTCTAAAGAATGGGAGCAGCAGCCAACATTTATAAAGTTTATCATATGAATAAATAATTACAATATCAACAAAGTGAATACAGCACTTATTCAATTATTGACTTTTTTGTGTTATTATATTAAATACCTTCAAATTTATGTAATCCTTACAAAAGCCCTATAAAGTTCATATTAAAGTCATACTAATTTTATAGATGAGGAAACTAAAATTTAGTGTGAAGCTAGTTGCTTATGTTGTGCAACTTTGTAAGTAGAGAGCTGGAATTTTCACACCAACTCCAAAATTTAGAGTAAAATAAATCCTTAAATTAGTATCATGCTTGAATCTCTAGGGGACATGTAAGGTTATCCATTTTATCTGTTTTCTTATTTTTTAGGAGGAAAAATTCATATAGATCCAACTCAATAATTGTATTGTGAAAAAGATCAAAAATGCTAACATTTTCTGAATTTTACTATCTTGTACAGCTTCTCTACATAATCCTGGCAGGAACTGAAAAGTACATAAAAATTTGGGGAAAAGAGACCTTAGGCAAAACAATTAGTTTCCAGTCCAGTCACAAATGCATTTTTATGTCTACCATGTTAAGATCATCTTATGTCAAGAGATGCCACATGGAAATTTGATGCAAAAATGTAAATAAATAAAGCACATTTGGCCAATGTGATTTCAGGAGTCTTTTAAAAGTTGAGAGAGTTCATGGGTTTGATATTTAGGCACTTCTGTTTTCCCCTTTGAAAACACAGCTGACTAATCCATTTTGTTAATTTAGCAGAAGCATGGAGCATTTGGGTAAATTTCAGTAAACATAAAAAATAAAATTAACCACTTTAATTAAATTCACTTTGAAAAAAAAAAAAACCCTTTAAACACATTTAGTCAAAATACTATACAAATTGTTTTAATATATGCAATTGCAAATTTCTTTTATTATCAGAGAAAACAACAGCAAAAAATAATGCTCACCTTGTCTAACCTTAAGCAGCAAAATGGCACTTTTTCCTGAAGAAGATGACAAAAAGTGGGTGAACTTCCTATATATGGAGAGTAGGGTGGGTAGCCTTTAGCATAGCTGCAAAAAATATGAGACATTACCTATAGACACAAAATATGACATTTCTTATGGACAAGTCAAGCTAAGTTGATAAATTCTGAATATGTTCCCATGTTTTGATGAAGTTAGATTTTGTAACTCTTTATGTTGCAATTATATTTTGACATAGTTTAGAATGGGTGTTGGCAAATTATGGCCCAAGGATCAAGTCTTGGTTACTGTACTACAAGATTTTGAGATTTAAGGGAGATTTTTATATTTTTAATTGTTGGGAAAAATTCAAAAGAATATTTTATATCATGCAAAAATTATATGAAGTTAAAATTCTGTGTCCATAAAATAGCTTTTTTTAACCCATGTATTCTCATTAATGTATTTATTGGGTTAGGGTATCATCTGTGCTTCAACTATAGAAACAAGTAGTTGCAAAAAGAATCATAAAGCCTCAGCTATTTACTAGTTGTTTCTATCTAGAAAAGGTTCTCAACCTTCAGCTTAGAAGATGTAGATACATTTTTAACAACCAGGAATGTTAACATTTACAAAATGTGTTTAATGCAAAATAAATTATTATGTGTCACTCTTTCAATATTTATCAACCATAGCTGCATTACCAAAAGGAAGCAAGTGATTGAGTTAATTAGTTAAAAACAGAGATTTTGCTGGAAATGTACTTGAAATATTATCAAAGACATTTAAGTTGTTTGCTGACTTTTAAAAAACAGCCACCTGCATATTTTGGCTACACTGATTAAAAAAATGGGACTTCTAAAAAGTAGCAACATAAATGACGAGGAAATAAAAGAAAACTTAGTGAAAGCAATGTTCTTTTAAAGGGAAGCTATTGATTTTACTGAATTTACCTGGGAAGCCATGCATGTGAGACCTAACTGAAACTGTTTTCCTGACATCATTGGTTCAGAACTCAAACAGAGCACATTCTGCAATTTAGAAGTTTGTAATGTCCACTATTATTTCAATTTCTCTCATTTCTCTAGATATAAAAACTTTCTACTTCTCAATATTTTCAAAAATATCAAGAATTTCAGTTACCCTTCAAAACGCTATTTTTTCAAAGATATTGATTGTGAAGCCTGTGCCTTGCTTCCATCTTCGAACCCACAAATATATCTGAGTCCAAGGACCATTAATTTCTTTGAAAGTAGATTTAGTTTTGTGGATGCTTCAAAGTTTCTTATAATCAATGTAAAAGAAAAATTTGGAAGATTAAAAAACAGAGATCTTTCTAAGATTCAAATATATTTCAGTTTATCTTCATTCATGTCAACATTAAATGAATTTATATGAAAGCTGGGAAATATGTTAGGTGATGATGTTACCAATACCACTCATACCAGCAAAACTAATAAGAACAATGATTACTCTTTATTTGTTGCTTGTGGAGCAGAAAACACTATACTAAGCATTTTTCTCCATTATCTCAATTAATTTTCATATAATGCTATGAGGCAGTAATTATACATAGTATACAGGTAAAAAAAAACACAGGCCATATTATTTAATCCATCTCTGTACCTGGAGAGTAAGGTGGGTAGCCTTTAGCTTGTGTCTTGAAAATCTATAGCCACAGCACCTGAAACATCAGTATAAAGTGGAATTGCCATAGCAAACAAAGTCTTATAGACTCCATAGTAAAGGTGTGGAACACTATGATTTCTATTTTGCTGTGGCAATATAATATGAGGAATAATATAGCTAAACAGATTCTACTGTAGGCTACAATATAGATAGATACTGTAACATTATGGAAGCTTGGAAAAGGAGAGAATCCTTTTATTCATAAATTTAAAATATTATTGCTCTCAACTGAATGAAAAATAATGCTAAAAGTGAGATAAGGAAGAGAAGTATAATGGAGGAAGCTGCTATTACACATAATTAAATAACTGATAGAACTTCAAAATGGATGTGGAATAAAAAAAAAATGATTGTCACAATTTGGCTATTTAGTGTCCCCGAAAGGTCATGTGTTTAAGACTTGGTTCCCAGTGTAGCTGTGTTCAGAGGTGAGGCTTTTAGGAAATGATTGGATCACAGGCTTTAACCTCATCAGTAAATTAATCCATTGATTTGATATTTCCCCCTGTAACATATATTAGGTACTTAGATCAGTGTAATGTAATACTAACTAACACATTATAATAAAAAATCCAACCATGGAAATGCACTTTATAGTCTAGGAATATAAACTTTTTTAACAGATACAGTGTATTTTAGAGAAAAATGAAATTGAAAAATATATTTTAAAGTCAGAAACATGAGGGCTTAGCATGCTTGGTAGTCCAGTAAGATAGTGACTAATACAGGGGTGACTTGGTAGAGCCCCGAAGGAATGATTCTAGAATGGTCACAAGGTGAGAACATCAGCTCCTTACTTATTGGTAAGGTATCTAAGGACAATATTTAAGGTCATTAACACACACACACACACACACACACACACACACACACAAAACAATTTTCCACCTCAGAACATCTAAACATACTCTAAATTTGAAGAAATTTCTTCATCTGGTGCAGTTTCATCTTCTGATTGGTCACTCAGAAGATCACATGTTTGAATTGATGATGTATCTGCAACCTCTAAAACAGGAGCAATGCTAGGTCTTCTTAATTCTTTGCTTCCCTCTACAGGAAGAGACAGGGTAGGACCACTTGCTGATCTACAGCTTGTGTCTTGCAAATCTATAGCCACAGTACCTGAAACACCAAAACATATAAAGGCATGTGTCACATACAGGACACACACTGATCATTTAATCATGAAAATCAACGAGATATAATTAGCATTATCAAGATATGTAATCTTGAGTTCCAAAAACTAACTTTTTTTCCTCATATAAATGTTTCCCTGGATAAGAAATCTTATACTTTTATAAATGTGTATGTGATGTTTTCAATGTGATTAGTCCTCAAAAGACTTATGCATTGGCAACTTGGTCTCAAGTGTGGTGAGGTGAGAGGTGATGGGACTTTTGAGAGGTGGATCCCAGGGGGGAGAATGCTACATGGCCGAAGAACTCAGATGTTCCAGAATCTGACAAGAAGTAATGTTATAGCCATCGAAAATGGTAGGCACATTTCCTCTCTCCAATTTTTAGCAGTGTAAGCAGAGGAGTAATGTAAAATACAATCTATATATTATAGGACAGAGGGAAATTTTTCGGGAGGTAATGATATAAAGTTATTCATTAAGCAAGTGAATGAATTTGACTTATTTAAATGATATAGAAATAAAGGAAATCCATATAGTATAACTGACATCTTAATATTGTGAGCTTAGATTTATACTTTATACATTTACTCTCTAGAGATAATCATGTCATCTACTTCTGAAAGAAAAGTGAATTCATCATTCAAAAACTTTTCAAGACCCTCTGTCCAGTGACAAAAATGAGATCTTCATTGAACTTTTCCTCCCTTATTTCTGCTTAGAAGTAACAGACATAGCTCCCTTCATGTAACCTAATCACTATACCTGCATTGTGGATTAAATTTCTGCTAAATTCCCAAGAAATTGGGTGACTCCATGTTACTGCAGTCACTTCTTTATCATTTTTCTGTCTAACTTATGGATTCTCCTGTTAGTCACTACTTAGATATTCTGCAAACACTGACATCTGGTTCCAGGATTGGCACTAGGATGTGATCATAAGAAAGAATTCAGTGGAGAGGCAATTAGTTACAGAAATGAACTCTTTGAAGGTTCCTGTCCTCTCCCTAAGGTCTTTCCCTCAACCCTCTTAAAGAGGTTAATTGTCTTCTTAAGTTGAGTAAATAGGCTCAGTGTTGACGCCTTAAGACCATTTTCTATTGATCTGTTGTGAATATCCCAACTTTCAATTATATGTCTTCAGATTATGTGATCCTCTCTTTGTATTATTTTAATTGATCATTGCCCATAGACTATATGTTTTTTAATGATTCTGGTGAATTTTTGCGATATTGTTCGTTTTAGTTTGCCAAAACAAAATACTTCATACTGTGTATCTTATTTGTTAGTTCCGGAGACCAAAAGTTCATGATCAAGGTGTTTATAGGTGTTTATAGGGATGTTCTTTCTGAGGATGCTCTTTCTGAGGACTATGAGGCAAGGTATTGTTCCAGACCTTATTTCTCGATTTACTGGTGGCCACTTTCCCTTTATATCTTTACTTCATCTTTCTTCTGTGCCTATCTGCACCCAAATTTCCTCATTCTACTCATCATGTGGATTTAGTATTAACCCTAATGATCTCATTTTTAATTAATTTCCTCTGTAAAAACACCATGTTCAAATAAGATTGCATTCTGAAGCACCTGGGGTTAGAATTCAAACAGAAATTTGGGGAGACACAATGTATCCCATAACAACATTCTTGCCTCATATAGTATTTTAAAAACATAAATTGATGAATCTTCCTCCACCCTTACCTCTTAGTTTCTTGCATCCACTGAATAAATTGCTTTTCACCTTATCACAACCTTTCCTTTTCACAGACATATTTACATGCTTTACAAAAGGCTGCATTTATTCATTTCATGTATTCATCCTCTGAACACCACTATTTCATGTTTTTCACCTTAGTCTCACTGATTTCCAAACCACAGATACAATCTTATGCTACTGGAACTTTGATTTATCAATGATGCCAACTTTTCACTGTTTCTCCCATTACCTTAATATTCTCTCTCCTTATCCACCTTAAATTCCATGCTTAAACATTATGACTATTTTTTTTTTTTGCATTTACCTTTGGCTCCAGATACATTTATGTCCCATGGCACTCCTTCAACAAAACTGAGCCTTGCTTAAATTCAACTTTTTATGTTCTTATGTTTACGTAGCTAAGAATGCCTGGGTAGCTCAGCTACAGTGTTACAGATTAGTCTCTATACATCATCTGTCCTAATTCTTGGCAATTTCATTATGTATGTCCCTCAAATACTCTAGACTTGTTTCCTTGTCCTCTACTCCAATAATGGGTATTTCTTCTACCATTTATTAACCGTTCACTCTCATGGTCATACTCTATACCTTGTAATTACTACTCACTATACATAGTCCCTATTTATGGAATCTAACACCCTGACACATGCATTTTCCTCATTTTTTTCCAGGTCCCTACCATTGGATTCCCACTAGAATTATAATCTATTAATCTATTCTTTCAGTCTCCTTTAACCTACAGATATCTTTTCATTTCCTTACCTAGTTTTGTTCCATGGCTTATCATTATATACACTCTTACATATACCCAACCCTTGTTTCTTTGCCTTTCTCAATTCCACATACTTTCACCACCAGGTACCAAAATATTTCTTGGTTCTTCTTTATGGAATATCTTTTAAGAGTTGTCTAGATCTAGGGTTTGTATTTGTCTCCTACCTTCTGTTTTTTCCTACTCCATTGAAAGAGCTCTTCTTTGTCCATTTTATTTTTGCAGTCATTTAATTCAAAACTCTTGAAGTACATCACACTCCCCTTTTTTTCATAGTTCAGTCCCAATTCTCTAAGGAATCCTAATTACTGGTAACTTTGATATAAATGCAAATTTTTCTTTTCATATCATTTCCAGTTGAAAACACTCATATCTTTGCCTCAAAACGTCTATTCTCAAAAATAGCCACAGTGACTGTACTGAAATAAGCTTTAGCATAGGCAATATCAGAAAACTGATCAGCTAAAAATTTTGCATGATCCCACTATACCCAGAAGAGATACTACAATCCTTCCAGTAACTCAGAGAGTCCAACATGATCTGTCCTTTTACTGTGCCTCAATTAGAAGGGTTCTACTATTCCTGCAGAACTCAGGGTCCCATTATAAGCCTTTTGTGCTAGCAGCTGTCTCTGCCCCAAGTGATCTTCTTCTAAGTGTCCAGGGGACTAATACCCTATTTACTTCAAATAATTTCTCAAATATCACCTTCATAATGAGAGTTACTGTCCACTTTATTTAGAAACATAGTCCTTGCTGACTTCATAATCCCCTTTACTAGTTTCAATTTCTTCTTTTTCTATTAGTTATCCCCTTCTAACATACTAAATAATTTATTTTCATTTTTATGCAGTGTTTATTATCTGTCTTCCCCATTATAGAATATAAGCTCTATGAGCTAGATTTTTGTCTGTTGACTATTTTACTTATTATAAATACTTAGGAGAGTTCTTGGTACACATTAAGTATTCAATAAATACATAAAGAGGAGACAAATACATAAAAAGGAGAAAGACAGCACACAAGGGAGAGGGGAGGAGAGGAGAGGAGAAGAGAGGAGAGGAGGGAGAGAGAGAGAGAGAGAGACTGACTTTTGGTGAAAAAAATGAAGTTAGGTAATAAGGATGAATTAACCCATCTTGTTCAATCATCCCAGTTATAGAATGCCTATAAAAAAAACTTAAGTTAAGCAAAAAAATATTATACTATAATAAATTTGAAATAATTATTATGTTTTTAGAGGACTATGCTTTTAATAAAAATGTAGGTGAATGAATAAAGCATTTGGAAATATATGTACATGTATTCCATAAATAATGAAAATATATATAAAGGATATATAAGCTCTAGATTATGATTTCCAACCTATTTTAATGCCATTCATTAACCATTCACTCTCATGGTCATACTCTAGACCTTGTAATTACTACTCACTATACATATTTCAATTTCTTGAAATATTCTCAGAATTGAAAACATGGGACATCATGGGCTAAATAATGAAGACCTAAAGAAGAAATAAGAGACTGGGTCAACAGCATAGGTGGCACACTAGGATTCATTAAAAGGAAAGAGGCATTTTCCTTGTAACAAAAAATAAATATTTACAGGTTTTTAGGTGGTTTGGTGGCAAAAATATTAGGGAAATTCCTACATCATTGCTTTTTTTTTTCATGTATAATGATCAGAGTTAAATGGGAGATAGAAAGACAGTTTTGAGAAAAATGGAGAATATTAGAAATGCCCTCTGAAGAAAGTTGGATAGATAATTTAAAATAGAAATATAGTAGTCAGGTACTTATGGTACAATCAGAAATACAAATAAATTGTTAATTATATTTTAATAATATCTTACTTTTTTACTAAATTAACAGTATAGAAATTTTCTTCTGTATATGTAATTATACCTAGTTTACAATATTCCATACCTGTTTTAAATTTACCTTTGAAATTAAATTTTAAAAATCAGAGTATATGTATAATTATTTTTTTATAGAAACTAAGAGTAATTTGAAACTAGTTTGTACTTACCCATGCTGGCAATTATGCTATGTACAGGTAACCTGGAAGGTCCATGATAAAATGATCTTGGTACATTGCTATTTCTCTGCTGGTCTTGGTTCTTAAATGCTGAATTCTCTTCTTTGGTAATATTAATATAAAAACATATGTCTGTAGCATTCATAATGTAACGAGGACCTGGATTCAACAAAATGTTTTTATTGTCTTCCCTCCTAACACCAATCAAGCAGACACCAAACCTTAATTTGAAAAAAAAAATAAATAAAAATAAAAGAGTTTAAGAATTATAATTCAACAAGTCTTTTTTAATCTTACATATGTAAGAAAATTACTAAAATATTATAAACAGGAAAATATTAAAATTTCAAATCATAAAATGATGAAAGCTGAAGTAAACTGTAAAAGTGTAAGATGCACATTTTTATAGAAAAATATGTCATTATAAAATTGTTTAGTTGATTATGACTAATATATATATATATCATGTACATAGTAGAAGTTAATATAAAACATCAGAGTGAATATCATATGATAAACATGATGTTGTTCTATAATATAAGTACTATGGTCAAAAGTATAAACAAAAGAGTTTTAAAATTATTGGTGTAAGGAAAGAAAGAAATCTAGAAGACATTATATGAAAGTCCTTATTTTAGTACTATTTGTAATATATTTGATTAAATTTGAATTTTAGAAAGAAACATTTGCCTTTAATATATGTGCAGATTAACTGGGAAAAATAAAAATTTTGAATATAATAGCCTGTTTTTTATATTTATTTTTTAGTTGTAGTTGACACAATACCTCTATTTTATTTATTTATTTTTTATGTGGTGCTGAGGATCAAACCCAGGGCCTCACATGTATAAGGCAAGCGCTTTACCACTGAGCCACAACCCCAGACCATAACAGACTATTTAAGCATTTTTTAAACATTTTTTTCAGTTATGTTCCAATAGAAATTGTCCTGAATATTTTTATTTTAACATATGCTATAGTTGTATAAAATAAATCAAATTTTAAAATATTTTATATAGAAGAATGTGTGTATATATATACACACACATTATGTACATGTGAATCATATTGAGAAATGGGAATTATTAATTATTATTAATTAGTGGGATATGCTAGATATATTATAAATTCCTGAAGTATATCATAGTAATATATTTTAATATGGTTACTGTAGTGTTTTCATGATATACATATCTTTGTATTTCTTCAGCAAATATTTTTCTCAGAAATAATAATAATAATATCCCGTGTTTAGATTGTAATGCATTTTTACTTCTTTTTTATCTTATTTCTCTGGCCAAAGCAAGTGGTATCATCAATTTTTTCAATTCTATAGTTTTTATGTATTAATATATCTGTGTTTGATTTTCTAATCAAAACTTGAAAACTCAGTTCTATAAGAAATTTTATCTCATGTACTTGTGAACTCTTAATGGACTAAATTATTTTAAATGAGAGTTTAAAAAGTTGTTTAAGTATTCCTCCTAAACTATAATTACTCTTGACAACATTAACATGTAGAGACCACACAGTAGCCAGAGTTCAAATGTTGCAATAAATGTCAAAAATTCCACAGTACTTGAAACTTATGAACACCAATATTCACTATATTTTTAGAAAACTATTTTTTATTGCTATGAAAGTATTGTTTCCTTCCTACCAAAACCTCACAAGAAAAAAGAAAACCTATAGAACAATATCCTTGAGAAACAGAGATGCAAAAATCTTCAATAAACTACTTCCAAATCAAATTCAACAGCATCTTCATATCGTATGATATGATCAAGTCAGTTTCAGTTCAATGATGAGAACATGGTTCAACATACACAAATTAATAAACAATAGAGTACAGAAAGAGAATCAAGGATAAAAATCATATTAACAACTTAATCGATAAAGGAAAAGCCTTTGATAAAAATTCAACATTCCATCTTGATAAAAGCCTTGAATATATTAGGAGTAGAAGGATCATATCTCAACATAATAGGCTATCTATAAGGAAATGACAGCCAACATCATAATAAATAGGGAAATAGTAAAATCACTTCCTCTAAAATCAGGAACAAGACAAGGTTGTTCTGTCTCACCACTCTTACTGAATACAGTATTTGACATTTTAGCTAGAGCCAATAAGAGAGAAATAAAATGGATACAAATAGGAAAGGAGGAATTCAAATTAACTCTATCTGCAGATGACATGATTCTCTTTATAGAAACACTCAAAGACTCCATCAAAAGACTCTTAGAACTGATTTTAAAACCATCATTATTTAGCAGGATTCAAATACAACTAAGATCAATAGCATTTCTATAGACCTATAGAGTTCATTGAGAAAGAAATCAGGAAAGCAATACAATTCACAATTCACAGGAACCTGAAAATAAATTTTAACAATATCCAGGAATAAATTTAATGAAGGAGGTGAAAGACCTCTATGATGAAAATTATAAAACAAAGAAAAAAGAAACTAAAGAAAGCAATAGAAGATGGAAAGGCATCCCATGTGTGTGGCTTGAGAGAATCCAAACACTTTACAGATTCAGTATAATTCCCATCAAAATATTGATGATGTTCTTCACAGAACTAGATAAAATAACCCTAAAATTCATTTGAAATCACAAAAGTTTCCAAATAGCTAAAGTCATCCTGAGCAAAAAGTCAATGCTATAGGCATCACGATACTTAATTTCAAAATATACTACAGAACCATAATAACAAAAACGTTATCATATTAGACTAAAAGCAAGAAAAAAGAATGATAGAATAGGATACAGGAAACAGAAATAAATCCAGAAAGAGACATCTAACTAATTATCGACAAAGGAATCAATAACACACTGGAGAAAAAACAATCAAATAATACTGGAGAGACTGGATATTCACAGGTAGAAGTTTAAAAATATACTCTGTCTTTCACACTGTACGAAAATGAACTTAAGTTGGGCCAAAGATCTCAATCTAAGATATGAAAGTTTAAAACTTTAGGGGAAAACACTTTAAGATATGGTCATAGGCAACAATTTCCTGAATAGGGCTTCAATAGCTCAGGATATAAAATTGAGAGTTAACTTATGAGATTACATCAAATCAAAAAAACTTCTGTAAAGCAAGATAATTCAGTCAAGACATTCTATAGAATGAGAGAAAAAAAACCTGCCAGTTATTCATCTTACAGAGGGTTAATATCAAGAATATACAAAGAACTCAAAAAACAAAACACAAAAGAACAAGTAATCCAATCAAAAAGTGTGCAAATGAACTGAATAGGTGCTTCTCCAAAAACAGAAGCACAAATGACCAATAAATATATGAAAAAAAAAAATGCTCAACATCTTTAGTCAGTAGGAAAATGAAAATCAAAACTATTTTGGAAAGGGACCAGGGGTAGAAAGTAAAGGAGGCAATGGAAGTACTGAGGACTGAAATGGAGCAAATTATATTCCATAAAAGTATGATTATGTTAAAATGAACCTTACTATGGAATATAACTAAAATGCACTTATGAAACATTAAAAAAATACTACACTGACATTGGATCTCATCCCAGTCAGAGTGGCTATTATCAAAAATACTAAAAATAACCAATTCTGGCAAGGACATGTCGAAAAGGAACTCTTACACTCTGTTAGTGAACATAGAAATTAGTAAACCTACTATGGAAAACAGAATACAAATTACTTAAGAAAGTAAAAATAGAACTACCATATAATCCAGCTATCGCAGGCCTGAAAATTTATCTAAAGACACTGAAGTCAGCATGCAAAAGAAATAAATGTATACCTGCATTTATTATGTCACTATTCACAATAGCCAAAATATGAAATCAGCCTAAGTGCTAATAATCAGATGAATTGATAAAGAAAATATGGTATATGTATGTGCAATGGCATACTACTGAGCCATAAAAGATAATGAAGTCATGTTATTTGCAGGATGAAATAAGAGAGCATTATCTTAAGCATAATAAGCCAGACAAAAAAGACAAGTTATATGCATGTTTTCTGTAACATGTGGAAAGTTAATAAATAAGTAGATAGATAAATAAATAAATATGACCCAGAAGTAGAAGTGGAAATGGACTATAAAACGGGAGCAGGGAGAGGACTGAAGGCCAGAGAGGATAGAGGGGAGGGTAAACATGATCAAAGCATCACATACGCAGGTATGCACGTATGGAATTGTCACAGTGAGACCCATCAATTTGTACAATTAATATGCATTAATAAACGGAAGTAATTTTTAAAAAATAGTACTATTCCTTGATTGATGGATACTTAAGTTCCACTCTGGAAGCAAAAACATACTTTTTGTGTGCATGGAAAGAGGCATATGTAAAACTCTTTCCTTCGTATTCAGCAAAAAATGTACTTTCTTCCAAAACAATGTGGTAAACTTCATTCCCAGAGCATCTACCGTACATCTTCTGCCACTGTTCTGGCGATTGCTGGCCTTCTCTGCAACACAAACACACACACATACACACACACAAAGAGAAAAACAATGAATGTGGTTAAAAAAAAAAAAAAAAAAACAGTTGTTGCTATACAACTGTTTCCCAACTGGAAGAGCTGGCAAGCACAATGAAAAGAGGTACTGTGAGGTTGCCTGGCCTCTAAGTGATGACATTACACAGGCTAGTCTCTCCAAAAAAAAAAAAAATCTGCAATTGGCACTATACATTCATATGCTTGAGAAATGATAGGTTTCTAGAAAGTGAGAGTTTTACAAGAGGCAGTTAATAAAAGCATTTACTCAGACCATAAATCAGTAAGATATAGCATTAGACTTTTAGTGTTTATGAATATGCTGTCATGTACATTCCAACTATAATGTTTGTTTAATTGTCTCATAAAGTGGCTAATTTTATTCCACAATACTTGCTTGGCTCTTGCAGGTATTGATTTTGCTTTCTATTTAAAATTAAAATTTTCAGTTTATCAATTAATTTTATTGAAAACATACTTAGAATAATCTCTGTCTATAATATTGCAATGGCTTTCTTCCAATTTTATAGCAGTCAAGAATGTGATAAAAGAAAGAAGAGTCTCTACAGTGGATTCAATGTTTGTGTCTCCCTCAAAACACATGTAATGAAACATTAAATGTAGATGGCATCTGGAGTTGGATTCTTCGGGAGGTAACAGGGTTTTAAGAGTGTGCCCCTGGTCAATGGGATTAGTGCCATCATTGGTTCCAAAGAACTAATTAGCCATCTTTCACTATGTGAGAATACAAAAAGAAGTCGGAAGTGTACAGTTCAGAAGAGAGTCCTTATCAGAACCTGACTGCATTATTACAGGACATCAGACTTCTATGCTCTAGAACTATGAGAAATAAATTTCTTTTGTTTATAAACCATCCAGCCTCTGATAATATTTAATAGCAGCCTGAATGGCTAAGTCATTCTCTGAAAAAGATTCCAGAAGTGTTTTTAAAAATAAATTTATCACAAAAATACAATCTGTTTTGTTCTAGGTTGTTTTACATTGGACTACCTCAGTGGCTTTAGAAATTTTTTTAAAAATAGTACATTTCCTTGATTGATGGATACTTAAAAATTCAATTTATGACAAATTTATAATAAATATACAAGTAGGACCTTTCCCCCATTTTTAATACTAATTTACTCTTACTGAATAAAGCTTATGAACTCTACCAGCACAAGTAAGGGCACATCAAGCAGCAAAATATAAATATCAAAAAAATCAAAATATTCCATCACAATCTGTATAGGTTCTTAATGGATGGAAGCAGATACGTATATTTAGAATTTAAAAAGTTACTTGAAGTTCAGAATACTGTCTAAATGATTATTAGGGAAAGACTTATCAACCACTTCAAACTGTCAATCAAGTAAAAGTATATATATTCAACGTATGTTTCACTTGTGTTTAATTTCTTAGGAGTCAGAAGTGTGGGCCCTGGAATCTATTTGATTGATTTGTATTTAACTTTGCAAGCTTCAGTGAGCTATTTAACTTCTTAATGATTCTTTATCTCTTTAGTGAAAATGTGTCAGCCTTATTTTGTTACATAAAATAACACCAAAAAAATCACTTAGGAGGTATTAAGATCATAAAAATCACTGTGTAAGTGTTAGCTGCCATATTCTCCTCATTTCTCAATTTTGGAATCACTTTCGACATAGCTAGTCAACCTAATAAACAATATTGCACTTAAAACTTCTACATAGTTTTCCACAATGTTACTAGTATTTAGAAACATGAAAAAAAAAACAAGAAGTCACTTTTTACTATTGCTTTTATATAGCTAACTACTACTTCCTAAGAATGATTAGCCCTGGTGGAGAAACTTTCCCTTTGGCAAACAAAAATAAAATTGTCTTGTTGTGTATCACAGTGCAATTGGCAAGATAGTTCTTGGCAAAGATAAAAACCCATCTTATGGTCTGTAAATGTAAGAGAAGGTGTTGGTAATTCATGAGGATTTGTTTGAGATCCAAAAGGCAGCAAGGGGTCAACTAATTACAATGCAAGGGCACTTATTAAAAGCTATTCAAGACAATCATAAATCTAATTCCAGAGGCTGAAATGGGAACACCACATGGCAACTTGACAGAACAGAAAGGATAGGAGTCTGACAAGAACAAATCAGATGAATTTCTGAAATCTCTCACTTTGTTGTCTTACTGTTTTGCATAGATGCTTTTCACTAAGCAATACTAGTTTCTTAAAGATTTCTTATATATAACTTTCAGCTCCTTGGAAATATGCAAACTTTTTCTCTTTTAAGCTAAGATTATTTGCTTGAAAAATGTTCTACTCTAGCAATTCCATGTAACACTGAAGACTGTGTTCATTTTCTATTCATGAATTTCTACATAAAACATTTATTGAGTGATTGTGAAGTGCCAAAAAAGATTTTAGATTCAAATTATATAGCAGTTAAAAAGTGCAAAAATCCTGTCTCTCGTGGATTTGCTAGTGGGGGAACACTAACAATAAATGAAAGAAATCAGTACATTGTTTTACGTGTCGGAAGTGATAATCATTGGGGAGAAAGAAAAATAAAAGCAAAGCAGGAACTTTAGAGGGAAGTTTAATGATGTTTTCAACCAAGTTAGTTTCTGGGTGCATTTTGAAGTTGAAACTGAAGGAATTTTTGTTAGAAGAAAAAACATATAACAACCTTAAGTACCTTTATCCATAATCTATAAATAGATAAACAAAAATTCATACAATAAATAGTGAAAATGCAAATAGTGCTTACAAAACATCATGAATAAATCTTAAGTCTAAAAATATTAAGTATGAAGTGTCTACATTTTCACCAATGTGTTAGCTATGTTCTAGAGAAGAGAGGAGAAGTCAATTCAGAATGTTAAGTACGTGAACATTTGTAATGATATTCTTATATCTTTTCAATTTTGAAATATTTTATGATAAATAAAAAATAAAAACTGTCAAAAAAGAAGAAAGCAGGACTGGTAGTGGTGATTTAAGCTTTTTATATGTCTATTTTTCAGAGTCACCTTATAATTTTCAAGGCAGTATTATATGCTCTGTCATACAAAGCCCTCTACCACTTGCAAATATTTTAGGAGAAAATTTTATTTAGGTAGAAAGTAATAATTTTTCTCTCTTCCTATGATTATGACTACTCTATCAAATTTCACTTTTCCACGAATCTAGAGTAATTAAATTTATTGAATAATCTATTTTTAATTAACTGACTTAAAATAACTTCTTTATCAAACACTGAATTCCTTAGTATATATGCCTCTATTGGGACTTTCTGGGCTGTCAAATTGATTTGCCTCTGTTCTTTTACTAATGTGACACTAATTTAATTATTTTAACTATAAAATATTAAAAATATATTCATATATATATATATATATATATATATATGTATATGTATGGTATTTCCATATCATAATAATTCTTTAAAATCTCCTTGCTAGTCTGGTTTTTCCATTTGTGCATATGAACTTAAAATACGCTCATTTACTTCAAAAGTAATGTTATTTCCATGATTATTTGGATGGTCTTAACTTCATAAATCTGAGTGAAATTGACATCTCCAAGATATGAACACATATCTTAGTTAATTTGCATGTTGATTGCTATTTCTGCCATAGCCTGTCATCCAGTGCCAATCCTCAGCAAAATATAAGTACCAGATCTTCTGAGCCCCATTGCTTATTTTGTTCTGTGGGATTTCCAGTGACCAGAACATTTTCTAGAACACAGCAAATGTTTGGAAATATTTGTTTAATGGAAGAATTTAATCCTCCTGGAAATCTATGAGATACAGATGCTCCTAGACTTATGATGGGGTTATGTCCCAATTGACATCTTGTAAATGGAAATACTATCAAGTCAAAAATGCATGTCAGACATCTTACCTACAAGAACATCATAGCTTAGCAACAGAATAAGTACACTGTAGAGTACTAGCTGTTTTTCCTGATCATGAGGCTTTCTGGGAATTGTGTTTCTGGGGCACTGCCCAGCATCCTGAAACAGTGTCCAGAGATCACATATCAAAAGTATAGGGAAAGACTGACATTCAAAATGTGAAGTTGATTTCTACTGAATGCATATTTCTTTCACACCATCAGAAAGCTGAAAGTCCTAAGTTGAAACATTATAAGTCAAGACTGCTTGTATATTCTATTATTATTCCCATTTCAAAGATAAAGTAACTGGGGATTAATGGCTTCAATGACCTTGCCAGAAAAGGTAGATCAAAAAACTCAACTCAGTTACTCTGGCTAAACTATCTAAACTTTGTTCAAAAGCTTCAGTTCTGAGTAGTCCAATATTTTTTCAGGCTACTAAGAAATTAGAAATCAACTTCTTTTTCTAACTTTTTTTAAGTAATGGAGGACATTTTAGGTCCTGTAGATTTTCAAAATACCTTCATTTATTCAATTTACCATTCTACCATAATTTGCCATTTAAAAATTGCTTTTTTGTATCTTGATAGATTTAATTCAAAATTTGTTTTTAAATAAAGGAAATAATTGCATAAATGAATAGGAAATATATTGTCAAAATTCTTACACAGAGAATCCTTTATTTTTTTTTTTTTTTTAAGCATCTGAAGCAGGGGTAACACAGAGGCCATAGCTGTTATCCTGGTATCCCAAAAGGCAAGGTGTTCTGCCTTTTTGGTATGTCCTAGGATTCCTTTGTCCTCCTGTCTTTTCCCCCTTATCTTTCTCCTTCCTGCAGTTAGTGACTAGGCCCAGGAATACTCAGTGGGAGGGCCAAAAGGTGAGAAACAGTTGGGCTGAAGGGGGAATGGCAGGATGGAGTAGCCAAAAACACATTAACAACCTTATAGCTCCCTGTAGGAAGGGTAAATTCCTGGGACAGGTTACCTTGGCAACAGGTTAGAGCAGGAGCAGGTTCTTGATAAGGGTGGTGGAAGGGCTCTGAAGGAATTGACATTTCAGTCCCTCAGGGGACAGTATCCAACTTCCCAG